TCCTTCCTAATGCCCTCCAAAAATTTAACTATATTAGGTTTTGATTTCATATATCTTTTTACGTGGTTGTGCCATACTACAATATTATTTGTTTTATTGTCTTCATTATAGGTGCACCATATTGGAAAATAAATGTCATTTTCTAACCAGGTGCTGACAAAATAATCATCAAAAGCTGCCTTTGCCCTTCGGACATTCTTCCACTTTGTAAAACCACTCTTCACTGAACAAATGTAACGGGACGTGGAACAGTACTGAACATAACTTTACGTGTATTTTGCCCAACTGATTTGCTTTTCTCCATAAACATCCAGTAAAATGGAAAAAAACATCCAAGGATCTTCGCATCCGGCAAAATGCTCCGGATTGCCAATATAACAGGCACTTCAAAATTCATGCTTAGTTTTAAAGGATTCCACTGAGGTATACGACTTCTTATTAAAGAAAAAAGAATGGCGTATGTTTCACGGGTTTTATCAGGTAAAAGCACATATAATATCTGCTATGATGTGTTTCTTGGAGGGTGACAGTGATTGGTTGAATTAATAAATTGTTCCATGCTTTATTTTAATTGTAGCATTGCAAAAAACCTTCTTTCGACACCTCCATAAATTTGATCCATTTTTATTAGTCCTCTTGAGTATGTATTCATAGTTTGACCCACTTGACATTACCATCGCCATAACATTGATGACATTGATGACAAGTCATAATCATCACTTAACCAATCTGGATTGATTTGCTAAATAGTAACTGGGCCCTTTTTTGTTTAAAGTATATGTAAAAGGCTAAGCTACTTTATATAAAAAGGTATGGTTCTCGTTTTTACAGTTTCACAATTTAATACAATTATTTATATCAATATACTTTTGAATAAAAGCAATAGGGATGCGTAAGAGAGATAGCACTACGCATGTGCACAACATTTTAGAGTGTGCATTTCCTACCGATAACATAAACACCATGTTATTTACACTCGGGTGTGAGCGTTGATTGGTTCGATAGTTTGATGTCGCGTCGTTTGATTGACTATTACCTATTAGGTGGGAGTGTAGTGGGGGCGACATCGGTTTCCGTACACACGGTCTATGATCACCCTTCTAACCTCTTTCTATATTTTGTGATTCTTACAACCCTGTGTAGGGTATCCTTGAGGATTTTACACCTGCTCTTCTGGCTGGGAGGGAATAAAAAAAACGCCGCTGGATGCGAGTACTTAGTACCGTAGGTCGGAACGATAGTTATGGAGATCCTTATAGAGTAAGATCCCAGGCTCGCTAGACCTTACTTATTTTCTGGTGGACAAAATATGGATAATCGAGTAGTATTTAATGAACGCATACATACTCGCTAGTGCCTGTGCTGCGGGTAAGTTCTCAGGCATAAGGTGACACAGGTACCTACGTAAAATTTTTAATGTAGTTATCTGCGTTTTTTTAAGTGTTTTATACTATAGGTAATTAAACTAGTAATTGCTACTTTACTGTGATATCATAGTAAGGTTTCCTTGTGTTTCTGCCCTATTTGCATACAAAGTAATTACTTAACTGATCGATTTCCTTTGTTCTTCCAAGCGAGCCAGAAATATAAATTATGTGTAGATTTATATGATGATGAAAATATAGGCAGCTATTGCATCATCCCTTGTTATTTGTAAACAAAAATAATTACTACTTTGTTAGTACTTGTTAAGTTTTATCTGTTTTGAGTAAAGGCTGATTTACATTGATACTGTAGTTGGTGCCAACTGCCAATCCTGCTTGTATGGCAGTGACGGCTCAGTGTAAACACTTTTTTCTTTCTCAGAGACGCCCTCTAGTTGAGCCGACCTCCTCAGGTTAGAGTGGTATAAAGGCTCCAGACGCAGAGGAGTCTGTCCGCAGTCCTCGCAGATGGCACTCGCCAATTCTCGGCTAGAGGTCTCCTTAGGATCTCGCCGTCCTAAAAACCCGGTGACGCTGTAAAGATCACCTACGACTAGGGCTGCCATCTCTAAAATGTGGCAACCAGGATAAGACGCGTGATAACCCCGGATTTGGAGCCCAGAACCCGGACAGACCTATAAAAGCACAGTTAAAAATGTCACAAATCAACTTTTTTTATGTTGATGTAGGCAAAGGAGCTAGCGGTCTACCTCATAATAAGTGGTTTTGTAGCCCACTTTTGTATCCGGTCAAAAGGAAGGAGCTGGTATTGGGGTGCTCCAGCCCAGAGGACCAGTGCTTTGTAAAGTAACACCCGATATTTAGGCTTGAGGTACTTACTAGATCTATTGAACACACAAGCTTTTTCACACACCCTTGTGTCTTTGCTGGGTTAATCTAATCAAATTTAGTTGGCTCAAAATTGACACTTGATTCAGTAACATCCCAATCTCGGACACAAGTCTGTCTTTACACCCTTCTTCTTCCATCCGAGAGATGTTTGACCGACCAGTGTAAAAAGTTTCAGTGCTGTCATCCACATAGCAACGAATGCTGTTATTGCGTACAGTGTGGGCGACAAAGCTGCTTTGTTGGAAGTCAGCATTTATGGTTACAGTGTTAGAATAGATTTATTTATTTTCAAAGACATTTAAATTGACGGATTAATTGGCGACCCAAAACAGGAAATTTTAAACCCGGACTTCAAATGAAACCCCGCCCGGGCGTTCCCCGGACGCCCCGTAAACTAGGACAAATCCGGAGAAACCCGGACGGATAGCAGTCCTATCTACGACCAACAGCATACACGCCCAAAAAAAAACGACGCGTTGCACTCCGGGAATGCCGGCAGAAGTGAAAACTTGAGTATTAACGTTGTGCATTTTTGATGGAATGGTTAGGGAATAATTTTGCACGAATTGCTTTAATTATCAGTATAAGTACTATCATTTATGTGGTAGAATACAATATTTATTTATTGCGCTATCATACACAAACATGACAATTTATATTACATTAAAAAGTTTATTTCTCAGAAAAATCAACTTACATGAATCACATTTAAGCACACCTAGCGATATCTATTGTACAAAAAAAAGGCATATCCTTCGCAATAAAACTGCCACCTGGACGTCCTAGTTAGAGACTTATTATCATAGTACGATAAAAAAAAACTATGTTCTCGTCCAATATATTGAAAGTCAACAACTTTTCCAATTTTATTGTTTCCATCTTACGCCACGTGTCCTGAAGCGAGTTTAATATTTTTTACCCATTACAAAAAAAGTGTACAACGCCGCTAAAGAAGTTTTCACTTCAAAAAAAAAATGGGTGCGTGTACTTATTATGTAGGCGCGTGAGAAGTTATCCTTCTTTGGCATCGTTTAAAATTAGTTTTTAATTGCATGCAAATAATTAATTACAATAAATTAATAAAAAGTCTGGAAAAGGACACAGTCAATAAAGTTCAGTTTTAATTTGAAAAAATAAATAAATAATCAAAATATTCAATTAAAATCGCTACTGAATATAATTTATTAGAACATATGTGATTTGCACTTGTATGAAACTCAAACACGTATTCCGAATATACAAATTAGAAACATGTGGATAAATATTATAAATATGAATACCTATAACTGTTACTTTATTACAAAAAATAAAGATGTGGTTTTTGGTTCTACTACACCAATGGTCAAGAGATGGCACTGTAGTCTCCTGAATCGCGCTTTGGTTCCGTTGTTCCAGATTAATAAATACTTTTGATAGGCCTTTACAATGCAGTCGTTAGCACCCACTTAATAGAGATTCTATTTCTATTTTGTTGGTAGATTTTCTTAATGTGCGGTAAACACAAAAGTAACAGCATGAAGTTGGTCGCTAAATATTTTGTGTTACAGTGATGCGCGCGCATCTGATCATTTTTTCATAACGCGCCTAAAGAAGTATAACTTCAAAACTTTTTTCTCTCCAGTCACTAATGTTAGGACTTAAAAAACAGTTCTCTTTCGATTTATTAATTATATTTTAGTAGATATTGTAGTAACACACAAATATCCACCAAAAATCAAAGCATTGTCTCCATATTACCGTAAAGAACAATAGTGGAAGTATAACAATTAATTGATCTTTCTCCGCGTAGAAAGTACGTCACTGTATTTGGTATAGATTGCATCAAAAAAAAGTATACAATTTTATGATTTTATTTATTTTTAAGCATTTAACTGCTAGATGTTTAAATCTAAAGAAAAGTTTACTAGAAAAAAATCCACGCGGACCAGGCAGCGGACGGGACTCGAACCCGCATCCTTCGCTATCCGGGCGAATGCACTGACCATTATGCTACCACGGCCCTATTAGCCGCGTCGAAATTTTCTTAGCCCTTTTTTTTTTAGTAAACTTTTCTTTATACAATTTTAAATGATCTGATCTGAGAAGCAATAGTTAAAATCCCGATTTCTTTGATATAGCTCTTACCAAAGAAGCTAAGTGATCTCCAAAGTGCTAATTATCTCCCTAAAGAAAAATCATCAAAATCAGTATAGCGGTTATCATCAAACACAGACTGACACAGATTTGCATAATTTTCATTAGAAATATTAGTGGGTACTAGCTATTTCTGCTCTATTCAACCCGGTAAGGGACTAAGGGTTAATACGTTAGGGAAATGTCTTTTAAACCGATTTTCAATAATTACACATACAGAGACATCACACATAGTGCAATTTAAGATATTGTCGACAGTGTCACACGATACGCTAAAAAAAAAATACGAAAACAAAACAATAAAGCTCTAAACCAAAAAATTACTCCTACTTATGATTTCATAGTCTCATTTTTCTATTTTTTTATATTGTGCTTATTGGAATCCCCTTTTAAAACATGCTTTTTTTAACGTTGTGGAAACTGACAATGAAGAGCAAATAAAAAAAAACAAGTCAATGATAATTCAGGTATAATAATTATCTGCTTTATACTTACACAATACTTCAATATAATATTTTGGTACTGTAAACAAAGAAACAAAAGGCTCAAAGCAAAAAGGGTTGTTCTATTAAAATTATATTATTTGCTTACCTTTTCGTTAATCTCTTGAGAAAAAACACCATCTTTGTTGGTTGTCGTAGTCAACTTCTTTGTATCTGTTGATAAAGAAATTTTAATTAACTGGGGAATGTAAAAATTCACAGTATATAGACAAAATGCTTTGCATTTATTTATTTATCTTTAACAAAGTGTCTACATCGATTTTTGTGAATGAAATACAATAAAATATAAATAAAATCTTAAGGCCAATTACAGAAATTTATTATGTACTCATTAGATACTAACGGCGTTACTATACATCAATATCACATTTAATTAAAAAAAAAGTATAAACATCATATAATTTACTCACATAAAATTAAATTAAGATTGGATAAGACATAAAAAATTACTAAAAAAAGAAAAAGAAAAACTAAATACCCATAAAAAAAGGTTTTCAGATATTTGTCACACCATAACTTTACGAAGTGTGGGTGAGTGTGTGCATGTATGTAATGTAAGCTTCGACCAAACCAATATGTGAGTGTATGTGTGTGTCTATGCCGCTGCAACTTTGCCATGGTCCACGCGTTTGGTCTCTAGGAACATGTAGACTGTTTAACACTATGGATAGCCTGTCTAAGCGTCGCGCTTCGCGCTCCTTCATTGTGCAGGTGGGTAAATACTTATAAAACTATTATTTGCTTCGGATTTTGTAGAATTATCGTTTATAATTACAAAACTAACATTATCGCGATCTCAATAATAAAGACAGGGAGTCCATAAAGTATGGACCTACTATACTTAATTTCAGATAACATTAAAGAGAAGTAATAAGGGATTCTTATGACGGTGCAAATTTTCAATTCATTGTGGTAATTTTTAATAAGACTTCTCAATTTATGCATAAAATATACAAGGTAGATAGCTGCTATTTAAACAATTACCTACATCAAATATTAACTATTCACTATTTATATTGTAATAAAATAAAAAGAGTGTATTACTACATGATTACTTCAAACCACAAAATGCCTCTGTTGGAAAACCCAAAGAAGCATGGGTTTGCAACCTGCATTGACGCCTTTGTACACTTGTGCATTAATAAAATAAATAAATAATAAAATGCGACCAAACTAAATATAAGGATTAAATAAAACTAGTTTTTACGGGTTAATGCACGAAACTTTAATTTATTTATTGACGTTTCGTAGCCTTTACAGGCTACGTCGTCAGAATCAAATTTTATTTAATTTTGTCGAGCTACCTTCGAAAGACTTTTTATTGAGCGTTCGGTTATTTCATTGTTCGATTTTTAAATTTTTTATTGCCAATGTATGAATTTATTACTTAATTTAGTTAATTTAATAAACCGAAATCGCTGTAATGAAATACATTACAGAATTCTAATGCATTAAACATTAGATTTCGTTTTATTAGACATTTATTAACATTTTGGCACCTAATTGTTTCATTCATTTTCATTCTATATTGTAATTATTTATAATGAATTATTATTATTGATTATACTATGTTAAATAATGCCGTCAAATTGTTCCTTAAATAATTGAAACTAAATTAGGTATTAATAATTTGACTCTTAATTTAGTGACGTATAGGTAGTCTTAAACTGGAAAAGTACTTGGTAGCAACACTGGGTAGCTCTTACGTTAAAGATAACACGCATAGTATGAACGACTTTCGACTCAAGATATTAAGTGATTTGTTGTTCATATAATTATTATCTTAGAGGATGACGTCATTTCAATGAAACTGATAGCAATAATTAATTATATATACGAGCGTGTGTATAATAATTTCTCATTACCCTAGTGTTCAATCGTCCTCTACTCCGCGATACAGAGCATATGATTATAAGTCAACGAGATATTTTGTGGCACTAAGGTTGTAGAGAATTTTTCCGTTCTATTTGGAGCGCCCCGTCTGGGGAAATTACCTCCATGGAGCAATATCAAAGATGGAAGAGACTAGCCATAGCAACCTATTACTGTTCAAACCTTTCTGCCATTTTTTGCGGAGGGAATAGGTATGCACACAAACCCAGTTTAAGGTAGATGCGTAAAAACCAAATTGACACAGTACACCGGTAGAAACAGTAGGTTAATTAAAACTGGATTCCAATACGAGAAGAATATGGTTGCGAAATAAAAAAAAATAGTTTCCCAGCAGTTTCCTGAACTTTGAGGCAGCAGGTGGTGCACATATAAATGCGTGCAGGATTTGGCGCTGTATTGTGTCATTGTAAATGGGTGTTTAGCGGAAAATCGCCTATCTATTGAGAAATTTTAACATTTGATGTGTGGCTGCCTGTCCAAAAATCGTATAATTGTTTTTAACAAAACATTATTAGACTACTAAAAAAATGTGGTACCATAAAAGAAATTACTTTAAAAAATTTCCATGGTCCCGCATCAAACAGGATTCGAATAATCGAACCTACGCAACGCGGCAGCGGCGGGCGCTTTAAACAGAAATATAGGTACTAAAATGGATGGATACTTATTTACATGCACAAAATTACCATGCACGAAGAATGTTTTATGTACATATCTGGAGCTCTATTTTTGAATCACTCGCCTTGCGTCGATCGCTCGATTTATACTAATTTTGATGCGACATAATAAATTCCGTATTTTTTAAACCCTCGACGTCAACAAGCGCTCTCGACCACCCGTTGCGCGTTGGCGAATGACGATATAGATATTTTCAAGATTTTTTCTCAATATTTAAAATACAGATAAGATGACGATTTTTTGCGACGTTTTGATCTTTTCTAACAAAATTAAAAGTATTAAAAATAAATATTTTATATCAAACTGGTAACACTGTAGATAAACGATTCAAAATTGGAAATCGAAAGTGACTAAGTCGTATTCGAAGAAACTATGTTAGGCGAGTGATTCAAAAATAGAGTTCCTGGGCACTAACGTGCCGACAATAATTTCCGGGGATTTTTAAAAATTCATTAAACACACACACCCCATATTCCTCTTTGATCTTGTACCAATTAGATTAATGCGTAACTTAAATTGTGTTTTTTATTCAGATGTAAGTTTTAAAGAAAGAAAGCAAGATGCTACTGTCTACTTTTTAGAATAAAATAGTGAAAGAAATGATTTACTCTGGACAGTGGAATTTTGCCTAAGCTATCCCTGTCTAGGGTTACCATCCGTCCGGATTTGTCCGGACTGGTCCGTACTTTTTTTCCTTTTGTCCGGACTTAGTCCGGCTTTTTTTAATTCGTTGGAATGTGAGTAAAAGTTCTTATTAAGTTTTATCAAATAAGTCAAATAATCTTTATAAAGTTCTCATTAATTTAAAACAAAATATAAATCATCTTTAAAAATCAACAACGAGACCCGCCTCGAGATGCGAGCATCTGCTACCACGCGTATAATATCACTGTAACTAAGTGGGTGATTTTGGCATTTTGTGACTATAATGTCCGGAGTTTTATCGAAAAGTCCGGCTTTTAGTTCAGGACTTCTCAAATTTTTAAATATAAAACCCTATCCCTGTCACCTGCCCCATTGGGAACCCTGGAGCCTTACTAAGCGTCAGAAGCAAAACTCCACCAGAAGGTGTGTTCAAGGGCGTCGCTTCGCCAGCCGATAGCCTAGGGGGGCGAGCTCAAGTTCATATTCACAAATGGAATGTGGTAAGGTATGGCCTCTGTTGGGTTTGGAATCACCTAGCTAGGTAGTGAATTCATTCGAGTTTTGTCGTGCAAGACGCTCATGAAAGAATTGCGAAGATATGTTTCAGCAGGCAGTCAAATAAGTGGACTAAGGAGTTCAGTTGCTTTATATTTGGCTACATTTTAGGGTTCCATACCCAAAGGTTAAGAATGAAACTCTGACGTCTATCTGTCTGTGCGTATGTCACGGGTCTCTAGATCGTAAACGGAAGGAACTACAGAGCTGAAATGATGGTATTTTATGTAAAATGCCTACCCAAAGCTGAATATTTAGTTGAAAATTCATTTAAATTATTTTTCAAGGGGGGCAGGAATTTATACATGAAAAGGAGACGAAAAAAATATTTTGCTTCTTTATCCCAACATGTGACACATCATTCTCTAGAGCACGTTGAGTATGACATAAATATAATTATTATTATTTTTTATTTTCAATAACAAAGAAATAAGGGGCCGTCGAAGTTGTCATTTTTGGATCATTTTTGTAACGGGGTCTATCTCAAATCTTAACTAGTTTGGAATGTGAATTTTTCGTGTATTCCATATGCTGTATTTAAACAAAAATACTGATAACTCCGATTCATGATGTACTTAGTAAATTGTGACGAAAACAAACTAATTAATTTTCTATAGGTTTTCACGCACAACACTCATTAAATAAACATTTTTCATGGGTTATATGCACTGAATTTATTTATTTATTGACGGTTCGCATCCTATTAACAGCAGGACTATTAATTCCATTCTGACGACGAAATTCTGCAAAGGATGAGAAACGCCAATAAATAAATAAATTCAGTGCATATAACCCGTCAAAACTTGTTTTATTCAAGTAATTATATTTCGCGGTTTGTTGTACGGAACGGTCTGTTATTTCACTGTGAACTTTTGAAAGGTCCAGGTGGTTACTTCCGCAGACGATTGATTAAATTCAAGAGGAAATCCATTATGCCCTACCATTTTTAAATGGCAAATAAAACGTCGTCGAGCATAGTGTTATTAATACCTACACATATCTGATTGATTTGCAAGTTGCACTGTTGACAATCTGCCAATCGCGCAACATCTGTGACGTGAACGTATCAAAAATGTATCTATGTATATGCAACATATTTAAAAGCATGGCAAAATTGCCTTCGTCACCTTTATTGCCTTATGTTCATGAATATCTAATATGTACTATGTATTAAGAAATTTACGAGTAGGTATAATAAGTATTTAGCGAAATATCTACGCAGTCAAGGAGCAAGCATGGATTTCTTTAAAGTATTTTTTTTGAAGATGAGAGAGTAGTCACGGATCTGAAAAAAAGACTCTGAAAGAGAAAGAAGTAGAAAGAAAAGAAAAAAAAAGAAAAAAAGGGTCTTTTTTTCAGGTCCGTGAGAGTAGTAATGTTATTTTTATTATTGAAATGAATCTTGTTTTTGATGGGAATTATCGAGTTTAACGGAAATTAACTTTATAAGCATTGAACCAAATCCATTCCATTATTACATCGTAATGCTATGTTAGTAAGTATTTATAAATAAATAAATATTTCCATCACTCACACCAATTAGCCTAGCCCCAAAGTAAGCACTATGAGGCTTGTGTTATGGGATTCTGGGATAGAATACATATATAAGTATATTAATATAGAAATACATATTAAATATCCATGACTGGAGTACAAAATGCTCGCATTCATCACACTAACATCTGCCCCCATCGGGATTCGAACCCGGGACCTCTCGAGTCGGCGACACCATGAAACCCGACGTACAAACCACTCGGCCACGGAGGTCGTCAATTGAAAACAAAGACTCCAACACTTTACGTAAGTTGGGTGAAAAACGACAAAAAAAAAATTCATTCAATAAAATTTTCATTAATATACAATTAAAAAGAAGAAAGTATATTTCGAAATATTTATTCTGTGATAATTTCTAAGTCTAGTCTGCCTATTACAGCTTATGAGATGCTACCTGCTGACATACATACAGACCGAGATGGAATAGTAGTAAGTAAGTTTGTAATAAAATTCTTGTTATTAATTGAAATAATTTACGGGGGTTAAAGGACTTGCAGTTGCAAATAGTCGACTCGTTTTACTTCGTTGTGATTGTGCGCTCCCTGACACATGATTGATTTTTATCTAACACGCTTTCAACATTGGAACAAGATTATCGGTTTTGTCAGTTAGTATGGATGAACTAGAATCATGTTTTCTCCGAAGCGTGGACATGTTTGTGTAATTTGTGGTCGCACCGTTTTACATAGAAGACAAAATTTACTATAACGAACCGACTGTTTGGAAAAACCCCAACCCATGCAGGGATTTTTGGATTTACTTTAGCGCGGCAGAAGAACATAAGGGGGCACCATTGCACCTTCTGAAGTACTCCCAGGATACCTGAGCCGTCTATCGTCGAATTAACTAACTAAATTAATTCCCTGGTTTCATTAATATTTGTTCGTTATAGTGCTTGTACCTATTTAACTTAAAATAACTGAAGACCCCCGGGATGGAATTTGATGCGCTTTGGCACAAATGATCATGACTATAATACCTTTCAAACAAATGTACGTAGTTTAAGCCGTGGCGGACGTGGGTGCAGCGTCCATACATTTTTGCCCAATATCCTTTATATTTCCTGTGTTCTCGGTTTTTATTACAAATTGTGCATCCAAATGTTTTAATCTACTTTTTCGTAGCATCAAGTACTATAGAATTAAAGGGCAAAATCCCAAGCCCACCAGGCATAACTTATTTTATGTACAGAATATGGATAATTGAGTAGTATTAGTGTGTACAATGAACTCATTCATACTTGCTAATTCTCGTGTATCAGATGACACGGGTACGTACAAATTTTACTCACTTTACTTACAGTCTGAGGACTGATTCTTACGTATGTTTTAGAGTATACTGTAAGTAAACGATTTGAGATTTATACTGCCAGATGTCTTCTATCAGCAATATTTATTGACATTGACTTTATACATCAAACAACGATATTAAATACCCATATCAAAAGCAAAAACACAACCTTACTTATTTTCTGCAATCATTTCAATAATAAGATACGTAATAAGTAATTGTATAATTATTGTTTATCGCTCCCTTTCAACCATTTACTTTTATTTTAATACTTTAAAGAAGCCGTATTAAAAAGGCACTTAAATGCCATGAGTGCGCCCTTTCACACAGTGGAACTTTAAACACAAAATATACGTAGATAGTAAGCTCAGGGAAATAATTTTCTACCGTTGGTATGGCAGCATTCAAAATATCATTCTACAAAGTGACTCGGCGAACTTCGTACCGCCCAATAGTAATAATTTGCAATAAAATAATATTGCGACTTTAAATTGAGATGTAAGCTATCTTTCAAGTTGGATCAAACTGCATGCGGTGTGCAAATTTGATTAAAATCGGTTAAGTAGTTTAGGACTCCATCCCGGACAAACAACGTGACGCGTAATTTATATACATATATTAAGATAAACATCAGCTTCCAGACTGTAAGTAAGTTTCTGTTTTTTGCTTTCGACATTTAAAGTGTCTGGCAATAAATACTGCTGATAGAATGTGTCTGGCAATATTAATTTCAAACTGTTAATATAATCTGTACAAGGTACGTAAAATCAGTCCTGAGATTGCAAGTAAAGTGAGTAAAATTGTTACTTACCTGTGCCACTTAATGCACAAGTTCATCAGCAATTAAATAAGGTCTGGCGGGTCTGGGATCTCACTCTATTAATTAAGTAGTGTGCATGTCCACCTCAATAAAAGGAAGCCATCTCCATTATTCAATGCTTCTGTGAATCAGAATTGGGGCCGGACGAACGCGGTATGCGTTCCTTACAGCTTTCTCAATCAAAGGAAAAAAAACATAGCGTGAAACTAGTAACACGAGGTATTCCATTAAAGAGGTCGTAAAACAAATAGTTTTTACAAGAGACGGTGTCCATTACACGTGGTATTAAAGTAAACTAATAAATACAATGTGTACACAGTTGTTGAACGATGGATGACCATGCTGTAGTACATATTTCGATGTGAAAAGTATTTACTTAGAAGTTTTGGATGTCGTACAAAATAATAAAATTAGGTCAGTTAGTTATAGATAACGCAACGTTAACTTAAAATGTGAGCATGATGATGTTGTTTCAAATAAATTTCAACAAGAACTAGGGTTAATAATAGGTCACGGGAAAAATATAAAAAAATTAATACTTATTCATAAAGCTTTTAAGCACGGTACGAGTAATCCGACTGGCGCGTGCGATGAAAATCATTAGTTACCTATTCTACAAGAAGATAATTGTTCTAATGTTTTGGTTAATTTTTTGATAACAACTACACTAATTTTGTGATAAGAACACTTATTTTTATCCATAGATACAACTAAAGAGGTGATGCAACGTCGAGTTTGTAAGTACTTACATCTCTCGTTCGATCACTGCACCACTCGCGCTTTACCGGTCATGTGGTAATTTACTACGGTTTTTTTTTATTGAAACGCACAGAACGTGTTGTTTGTCGTCAAGCCACCGTAACACTGGCTGGCATGTAGTAAACAAATTTATTTTCTCGACTCTCACTCTGTTTGCCATCGTTGAAGCGGAAAGATGGGTGTGTATTTGCCAATAGTTGATTGAGGTATAGCCATATATCATTCTTTGGCGGGTAGATAGGTTTTGATGCATGTTTTTTTATACATGAATCTTAGATTAAAACAAAAACCCTTTTGTTTTAATCTAAGACATGAACTGATAAACTCCGTTAGCTTTGTTTATAATTTATTACTAAGTTATTTGTATTTACATTGTATAACACATCAATCAAAAAGCTAGTCGACGATATTGAAGTTGAATTAATGCATCTTATTAATTGATTTTGTGTTGACAATATATTTTTTTTGTAAATATTGTTCCATAATTTAAAACTGCGAAGCTTTTTTTCACCTGTTTAAAAAAAATGTACATAACAGGTGATAGGGGAAAAAATTTAGACGGTTCAAAATAGTTGTATTATTATTGCTATCAATTTCAATTAATAAAATTTTTACTTTGACTACTATGACGATAAACTAATTTAAGCTTATGCCAATTTCAGCTATATACATATATGAATTTGAATGAATAGATCTAGACAGAGCCAGACATCTTCCTGTGGCATACGCTACTGTCTTAAAAATAAACACAAATGTCAAAGGTGATTCGCTCGATACCAAATTCGTTCTAGCGAATCATGTATTGCTTTTTGCCAAAACATTAGAAAAGGGTGAAGTAAATTTCCTTGTTGAAATAAATTTCCAATGGCATTTCATAATTCAAGGGATCAATTTATTTATGGTAATCGCAACATCGGCGAATTACGTCATCTACAAATATTTATTAATTCAAATAAGATGATGATTAAGTTAAAGATAAACCAACGGTACTGTATTTATTACAATGATTGCGGATACAATGATTGGAGTAAAAAAGGATTTGATCTAGAAATTATAACAATAATTTGTAGAATATTTCTCAAAATTAAGGTTCGCCTCCTAATTGTATTCAGGTCGCCTCATAGTAGGTTTTTTGGAACTTGCAAAACTTCGCTATAAAGACTATATATCATTTCAATGAGCTTACTCTTGGTATGCTTTTGGCTAACTTCCGCTTTTCAAATTAGATTTATAAAAAAAGTACCTAATTAAGGGGCTACTCTACTCAATTATGGATTGGGTTTTGTGTTGCCCAAATTCAGTCTTGGTCTTGCAGTCTTGGTCTTGTTCTTGCAGTTTTGCAAGACCAAGACCAAGAACAAGACCGCGTATTTTTAGCAAGACCAAGACCAAGACTGACCGTGCAAGACTTGAGCAAGAACAAGACTAATCCGGCAAGACTCTTGCGTCTTGCAGCTAGGACTTGCGCTATTTCACGGAGTAGTTAGGTATAACAGTTCGGTGTATAGGTAAGCTTAGGAATTCTATGAGACCCAAAAAACTGTATCAAAGAATATGAAAAACTGGACCTATGCGCATTACGACCAATACCATAAACATACATAGCGAATAAAAAAATATCCATTAAAATCAAACAGAGTGCATGCATAGTTTTGTTTTAACCATCGGCACTTTGATAATGCGGCATCAATGGTTTTATACTGACTTCTCAAAGAAATTTGCCGCTTTTCGGAAGTACAACGTGGTGATGATACACGCGCCGGCGGCTTCTATTGAAATCACATAAAACAATCGTTGTCGCCGCGCCGAAATCACAACATTTGACACTACTATTTGATTGCCGCCACAGGGCCTAGGTATACTCATGCAAAATTAAAATTTTGTGTCGTGCCGTCCCACTAATGCTAATACATTATAAAACATAGAAATAGGTTAAGTGATGAGTCAGCCAGATGGTTAATTTGTATTAATTCTTAGTCAAAAGAATTGATATAAAGTTACAGAACCTAATGACAAAGCTGTTGTGTACTGTTATGTTATTTGATTTGCGTTGTGTTTTATTTTTTATTGAAATGATAAATCGTAAAACTCTTTTATTAAATTTCATATAAGTTGAGGGTTCAATCTCTTTCTAGACAGATATTGTTCTTTAAAATACAGTCAAGTTATTGTAATTAATTTGTTTTTTACATGTTTTAGCACATGTAAGCTTATAAAGTGTAAATGTTTATTAAGAAAAAGTTACTCCCATGGAGAACGGCATATAGCTCAGTTGATAATCATGTGGCAGTTGATTTTTCGAATTTCTTATCAAATCTTCAGACATTTATTAATCTGATTGGTCTTTACTATGGCTATGTTAATTCAAGCATACAATGTTACAATTCTAATACGTTTTTCTAAGATCTAAAGTAAACTTTAATAAATAGCAATAGTCTAATAGGTAATTGCAAGACTTGCAAGACTCTTGCTGCAAGACCAAGACCAAGACCCAGACTAGGAGCGCAAGACCAAGACCAAGACCAGGTGTAGTGGCGCAAGACCAAGACCAAGACTGGCTAAGTCTCGTCTTGTTCTTGCATTTGGGCAACACTAATTGGGTTCTTATTTTCTTTTTAGGCTTGTGGTTTCATTGCTGAAGTGAAAGCAGATAATGCCTGTTATTAATGATAATGTGGGGTTTTTAAAGTTTAACTCAATCGTTTAGTTTTTCAAATTAGGTATTTTTTTATAATTCGTTTCTTTAAATCACCTGTTAGTTTCGTTCTTGTTAGGTTGATATTTTTTCAGTAATTAAGGCCATTAAGTGTTACGAAGTGTGTGATAAACACCGCGGGGCACAGCTAGTAATATTTTTATGGTAGTGAATGTTGTATATGTGCCAGCTAGATTACAATGAAAAAAATACTTAAATATGTTATTTTTCGTAGCATCTCTTACACTTTTTCATTTCGATATTTCCATTAACTTTAAAGTTCATTTCAATATGACCCCTTTGACTGCTACCAATTATAGAGGAAACTTGATTGACTTTATCTTTCTTGATAACACGTCAGACATATGATTTTGCCTTTGTCTAAGTACCTATCTATCTTCGTTTATCTTTACGTACTTAAAGACACTTATCAAGGACACAGGCACTGGCATATACCTATTAAATTAATTTTAACCCTAATGAATTGCTTAATAATTTTTATGATGTAACGAAGTACTGAAGGACTATCTCCTACATACAAATTAAAAAAAGATAAAAAAAAATTTTGGATCAGCATATATTTCGAAATAAAAAATGTCTTTTACGTAATGGAATTTAAGAGAGAAAGGGCATTCCGGATTTTCCGCTCGAATGGGAGCGCCCACCTGGGGAAGTAACCTCCACCTTACAGAAGATTAGATTTTCTCAGTCTATTCAAAGAAAGCTTCAATTTGATATTTTATCTTTCAAATTAAGTATAATAATAATAATAAATATTTCCAACTCTCACACCAATTAGCCTAGCCCCAAAGTAAGCACTGTAAGGCTTGTGTTATGAGATACTAGGGTAACGGATAGAATACATATACTGTCCATATATAAGTATATTTTATATAGAAATACATATTAAACATCCATGACTGGAGTACAAATGCTCGTATTCATCATACAAACATCTGCCCCCAGTATAACCTTAAATTGAAGAAATTAAATTTCGTTTGCACTTTGTTGTCGATAGTTAATTTCGGAGATAGTAGACACCCAGGACTCCACGGGGATAAACGGAATAGAATAGAGAAAACCCTGAAGCGCCGACTTCTTGTGATTTGTGAATAGGGTATGATGCTGACATAAATACACATATATTATATTTTTATTTGTTTCTTAAGTTTTCACCACTCATTAAATAAAACACACTTTAACGGGTTCAAAATGCGTCTTTTTATTTCCTACCAGTTGACCCCGCGTACTTCGTACGGGTTAAAATAATTTGGAAGAAATGACGGACCCGAGTCTACCGTACCAAAAGGGACGAACGTCAAATGTTTGACAGGAAAGAAAATAGAACAGTTTATATGGGAAAATTAAATTGACGTTTTTACTATCTTCCTCGCAATTTTTCCATATTTTCCCACCTTTTAAACCTTCCCAAGACCTCCACGAACATTTCAAGACCAAGATAAGATAAATCCGTTCAGCCGTTATCGAGTTTTAGCGAGATTGCTGTTGCGAATCAACAGCTGTTCGTTAGTCTCGCTTAAACTCTAAAATATATATATATATATATATATATATATATATATAGATTTGACGTTTCGCTGCGTCATTTACGATTTTTATCATGAAAGTTAGAGAGAAGGAGAACGATCGCTACGTGCTAAAGCATTAGCCCGCCTGTCCCTGAAAACTTGGTAGAATTTATAGTTAATTTTTCAGCCACCAGCCACGCTGCCGTCATCGGTAAGTAGTATCTGTGAAGTTAGCTGTTTATGAGTGCAAGTAGATGAAGTGAGTTGAATAATGTACAAATTTCAAATTAGCGCACAACAGTCACTTATTTTGTCCATATTTCTGGGACACTATTTTCTACAGCGATCTTTCTCCTTGTCTTTAACGTCGATGTTTTTTATTTTAAAAATCATAATTCAACCTGAAGGATGCGAAACGTAAAAAAAACGCATTTAGAACCCGTTTAAGAGTGTTTTATTCATATTTGTTTTTCTCTTCTTCATGCACTTTAGATATTCTGTGACCAAGTGACGTTTGTTATGTTATCACACCGTAACTCCCACATTCTCGCCATTCCACAATGACTGTCAGGGTCATCCATCTGGACGCCATCAACGATCCCAAAATCATTACCTACTATTGTAAATATTTGCAGAAACCCATTTGTATTATATCCTTATCACTATTTCTTTTGTATTATACCCATAGCGTTAATATTTTATTACCCTTCTTTACATTGTATTGTATTGTTGTTTAGGTTAAGTTTTCATATGTTCATTTTATTTGTAAGCCATAACCTATTGTAAACCTTTATTCCTATTCCTTAACTATTAAGATAATTGTTTTTGCCGTTTCCCTGAAATGTGTAGGAGTGTATTTTGTTAACCATTTCTTTGCATAAATAATCCAGATCCCAGGAAAAGCAGTCAGTTCAGCTGTGTTCATACTCGCGATAAGTCGTGAGCTAAGTAAATTCTTCAAGATTGTAAGGACAGAGCTCCAAATAAAGCTCCGGTTCGAGTGGTCTAGAGGCTCCAGACGGAGAGGAGACTCCCCCTATCCGGAGATGCCATCCACCTCTAGAGGCACTCGCCAATTCTCGGCTTTAGGTTCCCTTAGGATCTCGCCGTCCCCAAACCGGGCGACGCTGTAAAGGTCATCTGCAACCAACAGCATACACACAAAAAAAAAAAAAGTTGAGTGGAACCAAGTCTCGCCTCTTACTTATAATACGTTGCGTACGACGTAAGCAACTATATATGTATGTAAATATTGTTGATAAAAAGTTGTTAATAACAGCTTCAGCCTTATCATCATATTTTCATGTCAGGTTTTAATCAGTATTTACCTCTTTCTCTGTTATATGGTATTTATGAATTTATCTTTATTTGATTTTTTTACTCATTTTCCTTGCTAGGTAGAAATACGTAATGGCTATACGTAGAATTTTATGTTTTGTTGTGATATGATATTACGATTATTATTTCCTATATCTTATTAAAGATAATATTGATTTTATCTTTTATCACAATATGTGTGTTTTTCATTCATTCTTATTATGGTGGATTTATCATTCATATGTTTTTGAATGTTTTCTCAAGTGGTTTGTTCTGTCATTAATGAATATAATGTAGTATGGTAGTGATCATCAGCCCACTGCAGGGGGATCAAATAAAAATGTATCCTAAACATAAGTTTTATTTATAATAATGATGATCAATAAAACCACTCAAAATTTTAATCGCATCATCATAATCAGCCTTTTGATGTCCCCACTGCTGGGGCACAGGCCGTCCCTATGGATGGATTAGGGAGATTGGGCCATGTCATAACCCATCACGTGAGCCCAGTGCGGATTGGTCGGTGCTAACGACTTCAGCTGCGGGACCAACGGCTCCAAAAGTTTTTGGCCAGCACGTCAGATGACCAGCCATTGCAAAAGTTACCTTTTCAATTTCTTTTGAAGGCACGAGAAGTTGTAGACAGATAAAAGTGGATTAATTTCATCTAAAAATACTAAAGAAATATTTTTCAGTAAGTACATTATGAATATCTACTGTAAAAATACAGCATACCTACTTACTTTATCTTTTATCTGAATATTCTTCTGTGGGATCACCTTTTTACATAATACATAGTTTAACAATAGAATGCAACGAAAAATATAGATTCCATTATAGCTTGTCATATTATGTGGGCTCTTATTTATAATATTCAAGGAAATTCTTTATAAACTGTCGTCTCAAGATGGATGGCGAGTATTGTACAAATACGTAAATAACACCTTGTGCTGCTATTGAAGTGGTCAGGAGTTCAGGTCGCGTGTTCCCACGGGTGTTTAGAATAAGCCCATCAAAGGTATTTATTTGTTGTGATCTGGCTAGCCCATTGAATAGATAACATTTGATGTCAACAATATGTTAGTGTGGAAAAATACTGCTGCAGTGCTATTCACAGTGGATTTTCTCCTTTTTCTTTTGCCTTCTAATCCATCTGATTCTGGTGATTTTAGGTATTTTTTTGTGTTGTGTTCCAGGCTTTACGTCTGGCCATTGAGATGCGATGCCATAAATAATATTGTGAAGCTTAGATTTTAAGTTGAGCTTAGAACGAGATACACCTTGTTTTGTTGCTAAGGGATTATGAGGGATTTTTAAGTTATTTGTTTGATAAAGAAAAAAAATATTAGAGAATTATTTTAGATGCGGAAATATACGAATAAAAAGTATAAAAAAACAGATAGATAAACATAATTTGGCCTCCAACGACAATTTTGAAGTACCTGATGAGTAACTTTTTTATTGTAAAGTATGCAGCAATTACTATATTTATCAGCTACAGCATGCAACTGATTTTCATGAAATAGAGGAAGTAAATTATACTTGGTACGAAAACTATATTGCAATTAGGCATTTGCTTCAACTTCCATTTGGGCAAATGCGAATAAGTTGCAAAAGAAATAAATTATGTGAAAAGGGATGTTTATCTCAAGGGAAACACAAACACTTGGTCGGACTACTGAAAATATTGCGTAGGTACACGTCCTTTATTATTATTTAGTAAGTAATACCTAGATATATTTGAACCAAGTAAACTTGTGCTCTGAGGGGTTGTTAATTAATTATGCTTATAACATGAAGATAGTATAAGAAGTCATTATGGCGAAAAATAATAAATAAATCAATAAATATTTCCAACACTCACACCAATTAGCCTAGCCCCAAAGAAAGCACTGTAGGCTTGTGTTATGGGATAATAGGGTAACGGATACAATATACACACATCAAAAGTGTCTAGGGATCAAGCATTTTTATGCGGATTTCTTGAGATTGAGATGTGGCTTTGTAATAAATTTATGATTTTATAAATTTATATGGATCCTTTTTGGTGCATTT